TTATATTTTTATATATTTACAGGCTTCTGTTGATTCAAATTCCATTATCATTGAAACGGAAGAAATACGCGCACCACCAGAGTTAGATGATCTATCGCATTTGGAATAAGGCGAAAAATTAAAAATAATARTAATATAAAGAAAAATTTGTATGCAGTTAGTAATAGGCAATATTATATTAAGTTTTAAGTAAAGCGAGCGAAGAATAAAAATGTCTTAATAATGTGTGTTAATTAGAGTTTATTATTGTTATATRAAATTACTTATATTTATTCAAATATTTTAAATTTAAATTCATTTTAACCCAAAATTTGTTTAATTCTAAAATTTTATTAATATTCGACAATTATTAATGTTTACTTTTTTTGCCGACTCTTAAATAGTTTATATTAAGTTCAGCATTAATTTTATTCAATATGTTAGAAGTTTTTTTTTTTTTTTGTTTAAAGTTACTACATCCCCGAGGGGGGCGGGAGAAGTTGTTTTTATACAAATTTTTTATTTCAGTTTATTCAATATTTTACAATTTTTTTTTTTGTACACATATTTTTTGTTTAATTTACTTTATATGAAGCTAAAAAGAGATACCTCATCGTTGGAAAGTTTTCCTACACCATATTTCTAATCTAAAAACATACTATAACCTTTTACTAATATTATCGGCACGAAGTATTTCTACTAATATTACTTGCTCCAAATATTTTTKTTGTTTCATGAGTTGGCAAAAGCAGGCAACACCGATTACTTTRATTTATTGATTTTTCACCATTTGCACGACGTGTGTCTAAGCAATCGCCACTTCTGTTATGTCGGGCGTGGTGGCAWTTTGCTCTACGCCTTGGTTTTTGTTTCCAACCACCCAACCACTCAGCTACCTAGCCATTCAAACACACAACACACTTGAGTGTTATCAGACTTGTACACCCGCACAAATTTAGCGCAGTCAATCACACATACAAATGTATGTATATACAAGCAATATTGCAYACAGATACACATACACATTGCAAGAGGTTTTTAGCAAATGTGGCTCTTTCGCTTTGTAGTCGCACAAGCGAGACCGTAGTGTGTAGATACAAAAATTTTTTACCCTGCACAAAGGATACGCTTTGCAACAAAGAAATACACAAAAAATTGCATAGTGAAATTGTAGAAGCTTTATTTTATTTAAGGAAGCTATATATTAAGTGAATTTGTGTGAGAAATAAAGCAATTGGTATGCGCGCCCATTTTGCTGGTGATGTTGCCATTGCTGAGGCACCAAAAGATGCAGCTGACGACAGCATTGATAAAATTGAGGCCGAGGAAGAGCCACTGGACTCACGTATCGATGAATTTAAACAGGACTCCAAGAATATGGAAGTCGTCTCAGAGTTCATCGACGATGTGCTACAGAAAGCTGAGGTAGAGGCTGAAAAGCAGCAGGATGCGAAAAGTGACAAAGCTTCGCAACAGGTAAAGGAAACCTTAGACTTTACAACCCATAAAAAAAGGCATTGCACTAAAGAATGTCTTGCAATTTGAAAAATATGTTTGTATGTACATACATTTATGCTTAAATTAATAATTTTCATTTTTTTGTACTTTAATGCATAGCAGCCAAAGGAGAAAACGCGTCAGAGTAAGTGCTTTGTTTTTCTCAGGTGTTTTTTTTTGTATTGTTTTCGCTTTTTTCTTTTGGCTTAAAATGAATATTACGCATTTATACTCATATACTGACAATATTGAAATACATGCATATAATTATGGAAATTTAAATGTAGCTGGATCAAAGTCGCGCACACATTTCGTTGTATAGAAGACCTTATCGCAAGATTCCTTATAGTTTTTTTCTGGAACAACAAAAAAAAAAAAGTAATATTAAGTAGTTTTAATTTAAGCAAAACACTTTTTTGTTTATATTTTCATGTTGCAAGATTTTTTTATTTTGCGTACTTACGCACATCCTTGCAAGCATTCAACGCTTCCTTAGCTGGGCCCTGCATCTCAGGTGGTAATATAATTGGAATTTGTGCTAATGCTTTTTGCACGCTAAAATCGCCCTTTTTAGTTACCTATAAATAGAAACAAACATGATATTGTGAAGATGCAGTGCAATCAATATGTGTACATTAGGGTGACATTTTTTTTTTTAATTTTTTGTTTAAATTTTTAGTTAACAGAAAAATGTAGAAAAATTCAAATCTTGCATTCAATTGCTTTAAAAAAATATCTCGTTTTATATATTTTGTAGCAAATTACAAGCTCTACAAAAAGATATCTAACAATTTTTTTGTGAAACTAATCGTTAAAAAGATATTAATGACTGAAGTTTTGATTGTTTTAAGGCATTTTTTTGTGAATTTTGAAAATAATGGAAAAAGTAATTTTAAATTGTAGTAGAATATAGTTTTGCAGAAAAAGGTTTGCTCTACAAACTGCTTATAYTGATGGAGAGAGATTTTCTTAGAAGTGTCTAAGAACCATTTGTTCAGACTACCAAGCGKAAAAATCCTTTTTGACCCACCCTAGTGTACCAATATTACTTTGTGGCGTGCAATACAAATAGAGATAATAGGATTTTATGTTTGTAGGAAGAAAGTAAGTGTAAGTTGAATGTACTTATGTATATTTCTAAACATTTGGGTGTTCGTTATTTCCAAAGATGATTTTTTTAATTTTTGTTTTGAATTTCTAGACATATATTTATATTGTATCTATATAATAACAATAATAATTAATAGCAAATGCAAGAAAGTTTTCTAAATAAGAAATTAATTAAACTGAAAATGACTCACCGTTCCTGCCAGCTGTGCTATGCATCTGGTATAACACTTAAATTCATTAAAAAAAATGTAATAAAATTTTAAATTGTACTCGTTTAGTAACATATTTTACCTTCAAGTCGCCATTGTTTTCGACAAATTCACCAGCTCTTAAATTATCCAAAATTTCGGTGGCGATTTTGAATTTTGGTGCACAACCATTGCGCATCATGTCTAGGGAGGTTTCAAATTGCTGCATTGTTACCTGCAAAATTATGAAAAATATAATTTTTGTATAAAATTKATTAATTTTTTTTATGTGAAATATATTTCCAAAACAATATTTTTTCTAATAATATTTTTTATTTTTTAATTTTGATTTACAAAAATTATTTCGTTTTCGTATATCCTTATTCCTTCAAAAATAATTACTCACCGCATTAACACCTGTGCACGCTAATAGAGTTAAAAAATATTTGAATGCATTTATTTTCAAACACATTTTCTTACTTTAATTTAAAAAAAAAAAATATATATATACATATGTTTAATATTAACGTCCTCGGTGAAATGATTCGTAGCTGAGAAGTTTAGTTACTTTTATAACCTTATTTGAAAACGATACACTAAGAAAAATAGAGATTTAAGTGACAGAATATATTCTATGTATCAATAAATAATACACTTTGGCGAAAGTTAAAAATACAATTTTTCGAAATTTTTTTATAATGCATTTTGAATTTTTTATAAAGAATTTTAAATTTTTGTCACAAAGTTTTTATTTTCTTGCATTAAAAATTTTTGAATATTTTCCAAAAGACATTTCCGATTTTTTATATAATTTTTAAATATATTCACATATATTTTTATTTTTGTTCTTCTCTAATTTAATTTTTTTATTAAAAAAAATTGAATATTTTTCAAAACGGATTTAAGATTTTTGAAACTTATTTATTTTTTTCTAAGTGTATGAGTTCGCAATCACAAAATATAGCTTCCGTGCCTTATTAACTGGCAATTAAAAGGAGATAGCGTCAAAACAGATTAACAGTTACTAAGTTAGGTGACAAGTACTTGGCACATGCTGCTTAGCTGATAATTACATTAGAATCAATCAAATTGATATGTGAGCAGTGCTAAGTACTGTAACACACGAAACGGCATGCCGGGGCGTATGAGTGACTTTTGAAGTCTGTTCAAACAACAATTAAATTTCACTTACTTATCTTTATTTTCATTTTCAACGCGTACATATATGTATATTTGTTTGTTGTTTGTGAGTGCCTGTCCAATACTGCATGTTTCGATTCCAATGATAATGCAATATTTTCCATAATTTTTCTTCCCTCTTTTACTATGCACCTCCCACATTATTGCAAATTAACCAAAAACCAATAACGCTTAATCAAACAAATATCTAAAATGAAAATAAAAACAAAATATAAAAAATCGCACACATACACGATACTCGACCTAAAAAGGTTTTACTATACCAGATTTCAAGAATGGCAAGATGGTGAACCGTGCGCGCGGCTTGGTGGTACGCCTATTCGATGCTATCTGCAATTGCGCCAACACGGCTGCGGGACCGGCGCAACGCATCAAGTTGCGCGCCAAGCGTGCAGCCTCAGTAGCCACAGCGCCAGCCACGGAGAACGGCACGGAGGGCAACAAAAAACACGAGGTGAACGGCAAGGAGAAGAAGAGCGACAAGAAGCAGAAAGATGCTGCCAAGGCACCGAAGAGCGAACTTGCCGATCAAGGTGCGGCCGGGACTGCAGATACGGCTGAGGAGGAGCCTAAGCAAACGGAAGCTGATGAGCCAGCTAAACAGCAGCAGGAGCTAACAGCTGATAATCAGTAACTTGCGCAATTGTGCGGTTAATGCGCGTGAGTAATGAGATGAACATTGCCAATAATTTAATTTCGATTGCTTTAAGGAGTGAGTTCAGACGTTGCGCAATATACGGTGAGCGGTGTAGTCGCATACTGTGTGGTGGGGGCGTAATTTAGAAGCGCGCGTTTACTAGACGCGCATGCCGTTATTACAACAGAAAGTTGTTACAAAAAAATAAAAATATATTAATGAAAAATTTATATAAAAGTCAATTTCGTAGCATTTACATGGGTATTTAAGAAGCCACATGTTTATAGATACATCTGTGTATTTATAAGAAGCGCATATGTACATATGTACCATAACTTTCTTTTTCAAAAGCTCACCACCAAACGTATACGACGTGCCGCCTCACCCGTACGCTATCTTCAACAACTCACGCCTCTATAATCTACATGTAATTGCCGTATTTGCTAAGCATAAGCACATAAGAGAAGAAGCGTACATAACCAAAAATAATATAGAACCACTCAAAGGTTTTCCAAACTCAAGTGCAGCTCAAACGTTGCATTTAATTTGCACAACTACATAAATAAACGATAAAAAACGCTTAACAACCATTAAAAACTTATTAATAATAATAAATCTCATTCGATGTCATTCAAATCACACAACTACATATATAAAACACTTATTTATAACCATGCCCATATTTCAACTGTCTATTGACAAACCTACCACCGCTCAAAAGAGACTTTTTTCTCCAGACTCTATATACAAGTATTAGTAATCAAGTAGTTATTGAATTGGCTGAGTAACGGTTGTTTCCGAATAAAAAAGAAAGACTTAGAAGTGAGCTAACTAAAATAATAGTCGTAACGCTTGCAAGTTATCCAAAAGTTTATATTACAATACTAGAAAAATKGTTGTTCCAATTCAAAAAGCTCAAAATAAACTTTTTACCGGACATTAGCAACCTTTTTTTGGAGGTTTGAAAAGCGAGTGCAAGTTTTTTCATCTTGCATTTTCAAATAATAATTCTTTCACAAGCTTGGTTTTTGAGTAAAAGAGGCGGAGAGAGTGGGAGTTATTATAGCTGAAAAACTCAATTAAAAATAGTTAAGATGCGATAAGGTAAGATCATTAGAAACTTTTTGAAGTTTGGAACAGTTTTTTGTTTGAAAATATAAAACACGATGAAATAGGTCTTAACTATTTTTCATTGAGTATAGTATAGCTGTATTGCCACAGCTTCTTTTTCCTTAAGATCAATAAAGAATTTTTGGAGGTTTGAAAAGCTGAGAACTTTCTTCAAAAATAAAAGCTTTGTCAATATAGCTGTAAAATCTCCAAAAAAGCTCAAATAATTTAAAAGGGCGATGAAGTAAGATTATGAAATATCTTTTAAAGGTGTGAAAAAGCTTTTTCTACTATCTAGGTTACTATCTAGGTTTCAAAATCTCTTTTGGTAAAAAAAAAACTGTTTACATATAACAAATATATAACTGTATAGATTTCGAAACAAACAGCCATATCAACAACTACTACCAACAAATATCCACCTATTACAAAAATTTTTATATCCAACGGTTTATTAACCTACTTACATCTATCTAATGAGGGAATTAAACGAGCACACAATCAATGTATTTTCTATTTAATAAACTTCTTATACATACATACATACATATTTACATAGATGTATATGTATAATCCCAATAATATACTAGTTAAGTGATAATTACTATTTAATTACATACAATTAGCAGATAAATCGGTGTAAATGTTGTATGTAGTTATCATATAACACTTGATGTGACTTTGTGTGTGTGTATGTAATATTGATAATACAACTAGTTAGATTTGGGCATTCATATGAAACTAAGAACATACATATATGATATATACATATGATTTTGTATGTATTCGAACATAACCTAAATTACAAAAATGCGTCTAATAAAACCCAAATGTGTACTGATTTTGTGAAAGCCACTTAGTTTATGCGATTAATTTTATTTTTGCACCAGCTACACCAAAATGAGCCACTGTACTTTTAGAGTTGGCACACGCACATACAAATATATATATATGTACAGGTTATAAAAAGAAGAAGAAGCAACTGCATACATTTTCACTTTAGGAACAGTAGTCTGAGTAAATGTAATCCAAAATTTACACTGAAAAAAACTGGTAAAAAATTTTAAATAAAAGAAAAAAACAAAGAAGAATTTTGTGAGAGACTTAAAGAAAATAATCATGTTGCACAACTTTAATAAAAATACATATTTGTATTGTGCTTAAAACCTTAAAATACGGTATATTGTTAATTTTGTACTGTGTATTTATAAACTTTAATGACTAATAACAAAAAAATGTTTCAAATAAACATTAGGTAACGGTGCTTACTGTAAAGCTTCCCAAAAATTTATTATTTCGAATTAAAAACAAAAAATAATAATATATTGTTAGTTGTGTTTGTATTGTCCTGTGTGCCCTTAAAATTGTTAAGTTTGCTAAATGAATTATTTTTGTTGCGAATCCCTGTGATTAAAAGCCTGAAAACTCTATTGTAACCTGCTAATGAATAAATAACATTAAAACCGTTTTAAAAATTAGTTAGACGCTTATTTAAGCTTATACCTATATCAAACTTTGTTAAGAAAATAATAATAATTTGTATTTTATGTATCTGTAAGAGGTATGGCGGAAAGTGCTAATTTTTCTACTGATCTCTCTTAGCATGATCTCAAATCAGCTGTTTTCTATATTTTAATTTTTTTCAGTAAAGTAAAAAAATTAAAATGACTTTATGTTGGAATTTTTAATATTCCTTTCAAAATAACAATAAAATTACGATATGACTTTCATATATGGAATTGGTGTAGTATTTTATAACAACAAATGTAAGCAAAATATAAAACCATAAGCAATGTTTCATAAAAATGCATAAGAATAAATCTAAATTGTTGCAATAACATATTTCTAAAGTAAAATATGCAGTAAAATTCCAATAAATGTAAACATTGTGTTTGAATTATGCTCCAAAAGTTTAAGAGAAGAGTTTTAGTGAGTAGGTTAGGTTAGGTTAGGTCGTAGGATTGATCCAAGCAAAATCGATAGATGTCCCTTGTGTTGTGGTGAGTATGCAGTATTCTATAATTTTTTAAGTTGTACGTTTCGATGACATAAAAATTCTATAAATTTTACGGACATCGTCTGTTCATGGTTGAGGGCATACCGTCTTACCCTGGGGTACCTTAGGAACGTAAGCAACTTGGCTGATGAAAACGAGCTCCCCATAAACCCTAACAAGACCGAACTAGTTTCATTCACTAGCAAGTATGAAATACAGGAGGCCCATCTCTCATCAATGGGAGGACTTATGCGTATAGGTCTTTGACAGAGATTTTTCTTGAAAACTCAATATTGATGAAAAAGCATAGGCAAAATTTGGGTGCTCTCACCAAAAGTAGTTCTTTGGTTCTATGAAATCATAGTTACGCCATTAATCTTCTACGGAATTATTGTTTGGTGGAAGGAGCTGAATAAAAAAAAMCCACACTTGCAAAAAAATTTGACGTAATTCCAAAATACTGCGGTTAACAGATCGCTAAACTTGTTCCTTGTTGTTTCTTTTCTGCTTACATATTTGCTAGGAAAAGACCCGATAGAGGAGAGATACGGTGAGCTTTTTACGGATGGATCAAATCTTGCGAGGAGAGTTGGTGGAGGAGTACACTGTCGAGAACTTTCCATCATTTCCAAGAAAGACTTCCTGACTATTGCAGGGTATTCTAAGCGGAGGTGGCTATCATAAAGGTAGCAATAGTTCTATTGTTCTGGAGCATAGCCTCCTTCAGAGTGGTGCCTATTCACTGATATAGTAGTTGCTAAGGAGATGTCTATACTCCTTATCTTTATCATTGAGGCATTTCATGATAAGATTGGCTTGCGTGCCTGGCCACAGCGATATCATGGGAAACTGTAAGACTGATGAGCTTGCTAGGACAGTCATTCAGTCTCAATAATAACAGAATGGGAACCGGTAGGAGCTCCTTTGGCATTTTGTGGCTCACGTCCCACTGTACGCAATTAAATCAAAAAACTCATAACTCAACAATTACGAAAGCAATAAACTATGCGCGAAGATGGTATCGAACCAAAAGTAATATTAGCAAAAACAATTACAATACAGTAGCAGACCAGCCCACCCGCCTGTCCAACAACAAGAATATTAATAAAATAGTAATAAATCACCGTAAAGTCCAGCTTGAAAGCGGCATAACATTTGAATTGTGTCGATATCTTTGCATATACATATGCATGAATATATGTATGTATGATATATACAATTGTTTGCTATAAGAAATTAAATATTTTAATCAGCGCTGCAAAGAGTCGGAATAAAAAAAAATATCAGCAATAATCGCTTAATACTCGTACGAGTATAAAATCAGAGAAAAAACTGGCAATGGCAACGGGTAAGCGGCGACGCTCGCTTTGCAAATCACAATGCATAAAAAGCTAAGATTGATCGAATTTAGTTGACGAAGTGTGGAGAACCTGAACGGATTTGCTCACTAAGGCGGTGCGTCAATACAGAAAAGTAGCAATACAGTAGCAGTAACAGTGGTAAAAAAAATAGCGTGTGTATCAGTTTATAATATCCGCATTCGGTGGAAGTGAGTGTAGAAAAGCCAAAATAATAATGTCTATGAGTGACTCAATGCATAATGTATAAACAAACTCTATATATTAATAACTTAAATGCAAAATTCGCATATTTCTCAAATTTTAATTGGTTATTTTGAAATATCTGTGGCATAACGCCAGAGTTTTCTGGTATGTGTTGCATTTTGAGAAAAAAAATTCATAAAAAGAATAAATAAAAAAATTAATAAATAAAAAAATAATTATAAAATAAATAAATAAGTAAAGTAATAATAAAAGCGCGCTATATTAATTTCAATTCATGCAAATTCTCTACTGATTTAAAAACAAAAAAATAAAATAAAAAATAAAAGTAAAAAAAAAAATAATAAATGCGTGCAATATTATTAATTAATGCATAGATTATACTCGAGGCATCTGCTATACCGTTACTTAAGACACAAAAAATAGAGCAGTGTTCAATAAAGAAACCGGCTTAGTGCTTAATTGAAATTTTTAAATTAAATCAATTTGTTTTCAAAGAAGAAATTGCTTTATAATAAAAATGGGAAAACAGGAACTACTCTCTCCATTTGTGTTGCGATTTTTTTTTTTAACCAGCAAATACCATTTATGGTACATATTTACATGGTCAAGCCTTTAAGCTGGATTTTTTAAAATAATAATTTTTTATTTTTTTTCTAAAGTAACTGAAATTAAAAAAAAAAAATTAATAAAGATATATGTATGTACATATGTATGTGAATCCTTGACCAAAAACATATTTTTTAATTTTTTAAAGTTTTTGTTTATTATTTTTTTATAGCATCATGCGCACACAAAAATCGACACTTCGCCTTCTTCTTATCGTATRTTTGGTACAATGGGTTCGAACAACAACTAAGGATTATATTGGTATGTAGTAAAAAAATAGACTTATACATATACATATGATAAAAACATAAAAAATATGCCGTTATCAAATTTCTGTTATTTATTTTTATAAAGCTCAGTAGCTTAAGCGGTTACTTGGAACCGTTGAACAAAACACGGCCTATTTTCAATATTTTTTTTTTCAAATATTCGATAAAAATGCCAAAATTATTTTTGGAAATTCATAAGTGGTTATAACACCTTAATCGGTTCAATATCACACCCTTTAAACTTTTACTTCAACGTCTCAGATAACATATAGTATATGTACTATATATAAGTATGTACATCATAGATGGACTTTATTTTAGAGGTGCGCAGCGGTAGCACTGATATCTTTGTTATTGCAATTTCTGAAGAGTTTTTCGAGCGCAGTTGCGGATTTAAACTGTAAAAATCCATAGAGATAAACGCAACTCTAGTCTCGAAATGATAATACCGTATTTACCAAAGGATAGTGAGACATATGTAATCTTATATTGGAGTACTTGTTTTTGTTAGCGTATAGTTTATAAATAAATTCCTTAGAGAACGACCCAATATGAACATATATATTATTTGAGGCGAACTGTGCTCTTAATTGAATTAGACTTTCATTAAATTCGGTATAAATATACATATTAAAAATTTTCCCATATCTGCATTATAGAATCTTTACGTGCTAATAATTGCCGTTGTCATTTCATAGATCTACTCGCATTGCGCGACAACGATGAGTTTTTATGGGGTCGGCACGATAACGAAATTGCATATAGCAAAGCGCATTCACATTCTAACGAATATAACAGTACAGATGGCGGTAGTGATTATCTGATGCGTCATATATTGAAAAAGCGACAGGTGATTTTTCAAGTGAGTACAGTGAATTTATTTAAAGCGCACGAAATTATTATAGCATGCAGTAAAAGTGAAATTAGTTTTTCGTGAAACTAACTAACCGAACTAAGTAATGATTAACTACTTAATAATTAAAATTTTTACCTTTTAAAGGAAAATAAAGATTACGGCGAGTGCCGCACAGCATTGGGCGAAGTAGGGCGCTGTCGACATCCGCTCTACTGTCGCATACCGGAATTGAAGGACGATGTCTGGCGCTTGATCTCGCAGTTGTGCATAATCCAAGGGAGGTTAGTTTTGCAAAATGTTTTTGTTTTTCAATTTCTAGTCTAGTCTTCTAATTTAGTTCGATTGGCATATGTTGCACGCAACATACGGAGTCGCGCTCCAGTCCACAAGTTATCAGTGACGTAAACAATAATGGCTTGGAAGAGGCGCGCATTGTCAATAAACCGGAACAACGCGGTTGTGGTCTTACCACCAAACAGTTTCCGCGCATCACTGGTGGACGGCCAGCCGAGCCCGATGAATGGCCTTGGATGGCTGCTTTGATACGTCCCGGTGTGCCGTATGTCTGGTGCGGTGGTGCGCTGGTCACCGACCGGCATGTGCTCACCGCTGGCCACTGCGTGCATAAATTCAAATTGGAGGATATATTTGTGCGCTTGGGCGAATACAATACACAGATGATTAATGAGACGCGTGCGCGTGATTTTCGCATTGCTAATATGGTCATACATGTAGATTATGATCCGTTGACATATGAGAATGATATAGCCTTGCTGCGTTTGGATCGTGCCACACTATTTAACACGTATATAT